ATTATGAAAAGACGAAAAAAATTAAAATAATAAATTTTGCGCTATCATAAAACATAAATGTTTGTAGCGAAAAAACCCAGACCGTGTAATCTTTTTTTTAAAAAAAAATCATCTTAAAATCACAATCGCTCGTCCAAATTTATATAAGATTTTATATTAATACGTTTTTTAGGTGAAATGAACATTATAGTTTAACAACATCATCTGTTCTGATCGTTTATTGGCAATTATTTATAAATATAAGCTCTTTCTTTGTCGGAATTCCAGTATTTTTTGTGAAAATTAATAGAAATATTGTGTTTTGACAACTATATATAGTTAATATACGTCAGAACCGATTAGAACTAGGATCAGTAATAAATTAAGTAACTTTTTAAAAAGATTACTAAATTCATGTTAATGTCGATGAACAAATTTGATCTAAAGACTCCAAAATAGTGTTCTTTAGATACATTATTACGGGTTGTAAAAAGATTTTAAAAACTATATATAAAAAAGAAAAGTTTCTTCAAATATTATAAAAACCTTAAGCAAAAAAAATTATAACATTTAAAGATCTTGTTTAGGCATAATATGCTGACAAAATCATGCTAATTCCAAATAAAAGTATTCAAATATTTTGTAAATCGCCTTAACTACACCGAGTATGACAAATATATTTATAATTAGACATAATAGATATCCTTGAGGTCGCGATTGCGTTATAAAACGAGCTCCTATCTTTGTAGGGGGAAAACATTGAACAAAAAGCGTAATTAGCGCGTTTTGTTTATTGTTTTAAATCTAAGGCATTAAAAAGAACGCGCTAATAATGCGCTTTACTCAATGTTTTCCCCCTTCAAAGATGGTAGCTCGTTTTGTGACGCGATCTCAACCTCGATCTTGAGGACGCGATCGCGTCGATCATCTTGATATGACTATCATATGCGATATATTGAAAACATTTACAATATTTATAATATAGTCATCTTGATATTGAAAACATTTACAATATAATCATCTTGATATGACCATCATATGCAATATATTGAAAACATTTACAATATTTTATTGTAAACGTGATAAATATGTCATGGGCGGACCCAGGAAATTATTTGGGTACATCTGATTTTTTGGAAAAATCTTTAACCTCCCCCCCCCCCAGGGTCGTCACGAAGGATGAGGGAGGGGTGTGGTCGTGTCCCTCACCCTCTCCCCTTAAAGATATCTTACAAGCATTTGAGTTAGCACACTAAGCAAGTTTTGAACTATAGATGACATATTGGAAATATTGAGGACCTTTTTTTTTTTTTTTGGTGTCTTTAGTCGTTAGTTGAAAAGCAAAAAAATACATGGAAGACCATCTTCGGTTAATCTATCAAGATTAACCGAGGTCTATTATTAAAAGAGGTCTATTAAGTTAATCTAATAAGAGCCTTTCTTCAATTAAAAATCTGCAAGGTTATCACCGCGGCACTTTACTTTTAGATTATAAAATTATATACTTACACATTATTTACTGATCTATTATTAAAAACTATATTTTTACATTACCATTAATAAAATAAATTACACAATGCAAAATTTTATATTTATATTTTAACAAATATATTATAAAATAGCACAAATTATAATAAAACATTGTATTTTAAATATGCAATTTTAAATTATAAAAAGAGGTATTTAGAGATGCATTTATAATGCCACATTTTGTTTAAAAAAAAAAAAAAATTAAAACATTCATTTTAATAAATCTTGCTGATAAATACATAAAAACTGAAAAAAATCAATTAAAAAAAAAAGCATTTGCCAATTATAACAAATACAACTTAGCATTTTATATATAAAAATGATAACACCAAATCGGTGTTATTATTGTTTGGCTCTATACCAGGGTGCTTAACATATATATTTCAGGCGCCAAAATGAATAATATATCCACTCACATTAACATGAAGTTAGTGGAAAAGCAGCATGTAAACTTTTAATGCTTTTACAACCAGGAAAATTTATAACTTTTAACAGCTCAGTAATATTAATATTGAAACTACCTTTTTAAATTTAACTAAAATGCTTCACATAAATGAAGCTCACAAGATTAAAGCATGGGAATTCAGTAGATCTGTTTCATAAAATTCTCTAAAAGATATAATTGAACTTCTGAAATCATTTTTGTAGGAACTAGCACTAAGTTCTTGAAACTATCCAAAAAAAAAGTAAACCTTTTCCACCCAACATGTTCAATATGGAACGGTACTTTCAATATGCTCCTCTAAAATTTAAAATTTAAAAGTACGATACCTCATTAAAGTGTGCCAAAAAAGATACTTGTCATATTGCAAAACATGACATAGTGCTAAAAAGATACTTGACATATTGCACTTTGTATGAGGTACAAATAACTAAATTAAGTCTATGACTGTTGCAATGAGCATATTCAGCTTTTTCACTTAGATTTAAAATACAAGAGGACAAATCTTTAGTGTGACTATCAATTGCTCTAGCACCACCATATCACAATTCATGATATATAAAAAGGAATCCGAAATATTTTTTACCAAGAAATAAAATGTTCCGTACTAGTAACACAATTTGTGCAATCTAAGAAACTGATAAATTCTCTTATTGAACTTTGAACCAGCAAGCCATATAATAGTAGTTGTTCTCTACTTTAATTGTCAGAAGCTTCATCAGAAAAATGTTTAAAATTTTAAAACTATTTTGCTATTAACTTCTCTGAAACACTTTTTTACCAGATATTATGGTGTCTTGGATATGTAAGAAGCGTTTTTTGTTGATAATATCTAAGCTGATCTTGAAGAATTTTATTACCAGCATAAACACGGATATGTTGCAAACACGATTTATTAAGAAAACTTCGTATATTTACATTTTAAATATCACAATAAACTTTAAATATTTCAGAGTGAAAGTCGGAACGTAGTCGGAACGTACGTCCGACAGTGTTTTTTCATAAATAAATATTGGAAACCAAACTAAATAAAAAGCTCAATCACAGAAAAAAATAATGTTAGGTACGTCCATTGTTTTATTTTGATATGTAGTAACTATTAAAATATATTTTACCTCCTGATTATTGCTAAACAATATTATTAAACTGAGATTTTACTTAGGGTGTGCTTTGGGTACGTCCAAAAATTGTTATAAGTAAAGAAATTAATATTTTGCTTTTATAATAAAAAAAATAAAAAGTTAAAAACGTTTTTTATCGTTTAACAAAATAATATTGGGTACGTCCATTAACTCTTCTAATTAAATATTATTTATTTATTATTACTTTAACCTCCGGTTAAAAAAGATTTTTTTATTTACCGCTCCAACTTTAATTGCTCTAAACAAGAAGCGAAATTTTTTTTTTATTATTACTGTTTGTATAAAGGTAATAAAACTTAAATTTAATTCACTTAACGGTTAAACTAAAAAAAATTATTTCTATACGCAAAATTTGAAATAATATATTAACTTTTTTTTTTTTTAGATTTAGTTTTATTTTCGGGTATATATTCGGGTATTATATACATATATGTTTATATATATATATATATATATATATATATATGTTTATATATATATATATATATATATATATATATATATATATATATATATATATATATATATATATATATATATATATATATATATATATATATATTATATAATAGTATAATATATATACATATATGTATATATAATATATATATTATATATATTTATATATTATATATATATATTATATGTGTATAATATATACTATATATTATATACATATAATATATGTTTATATATATATATATTATATAATAGTATAATATATATACATATATGTATATATAATATATATATACATATATGATACACTAGATACACTCACATACATATGTATACATACACATATATATGTGTATGTATACATATGTATGTGAGTGTATGTACGCGCGCGTGTATATTTATGTGCAAATATGTGTGCATCTATGCATGTGGGTAAGTATGTGTTTACATCTTTATATTTATGTTTGTGTATGTATGTAACAAAATTGAACTTTCTCATTTTTTTTAATGCTCTTTTGTTTTTCTTCATTTTTTTTTAAATTTTTATCATATTTTTGTTATGTTTTTTGTTATAGTATTATTACTAGTAATTTTAAATATTTATTGTAACCACTATTAATATTACTTTTAACTTTACTATTATTATTCCTATTTTATTATTTTCAATTTAAATAACTGTTTGATGTCTTTGTTAGTTGTTACATTTTTTCAGTCAACTGTTTGTAACTAACTCATATATATATATTTAGCTATTGTGTTTATGAATAACATGTGACTTATAATTTCGATTATTATTGTTATTACAATTACTATTATAATTGTTATTGTTTTTATTATTATTATTATTATTGTGGTTCATATGTTTATTACTATAAATATTATTTTTATTATTATCTTATAATTATTACTAATTATATATATAAAGATCTGTATTTTTGGTGTTTACTTAAGATTAGTAGAATTACTATTTGTAAATATCCATGAAATTAATTTTCAGAATATATATGATTGATTGATTGATTGATATATTATATATATTTATATATTATATATACATATATGTATATATATTATACTATTATATAATATATATATATATATATATATATATATATATATAAACATATACATATATATATAATTTATATATACATATATTATATATATATATATATATATATATATATATATATATATATATATATATATATATATATATATATATATATATATATATATATATATATATATATTATATGATATATATATAATATATATATATATATATTTTATATATATATACATATATGTATATATATTATACTATTTATATAATATGTATATATATATATATATATATATATATATATATATATATATATATATATAATTTTTCAAATCATGTTCTATTTATTAAAATACTGTATTGAAATTTGTTTTTAAATGTTTAGGTTTGTTTTAGTTGATTAATAACAAAAAACGGTACAAAGCAAAAGTAATTAAAAATGAGCATTACAGATAATGCGTTGTATGGTAATACCGATGGTACACAGAAACATAGTTTTTCTCAAAAAGAATTTCTCAATGACTATATTATAGAGACACTCTCTTCCAAGCGTAAAGCTGATGAGATTGATAAACTAAAACTGCGTTTAAAAGAGAAATCAATTTTGTTAGAGAAGGCAAACACCTTTAAAAAAAAAAAAGTAAACACTCTAAAAGTTTCTAGGAAACTTAACAAACAATTCGGTTTGCATGAGGTACCCAAATGTGCCAAGTATATAGACTTTCTTCCTTTACATAGTTTATGGCTGCAGTATATCAAATCCAATTTTAATTCTGTTACTCTTAAAGCTGATGAAAAACTTTTGAGAATCGATTTTCATGGAGCTCAAATCAAAGTAAGAAATTCTAAGTGCAAGTCTTATATAGGACTAAATGGAATAGTTGTCAAAGAAACTAAAAATATTTTTGTTATAATAACAAAAAATGATGAAGTAAAACGAATTCCAAAGTCAATGTCAATATTTGAATTAAAATTGAATAATTTTTTAGTAAAAATTGCTGGTGATGCCATATGCGTTTTACCATCAATTCGAGCTAGTAAAAAGTTTAAATCTACTAATAAAGTAAATCACCTTCTAATTACATCAAATTTTTAGTTAGAAATCTGCATTAGTAATTACAAATATGTTTTTTGTGCAAATTATTAACAATATATATAATAAAAAATAGTCATTGATGTTTAGGTATTATTTTTGTAGAATTGATTAGTAACTTCTTTTATAAAATTTTTTAATTCAAATTTATTTAAATTAAACTATATATATATATATATATATATATATATATATATATATATATATATATATATATATATATATATATATATATATATATATATATATATATATATATATATATATATATATATGTATATATATATATATGTGTGTGTGTGTATGTATAGTTTAGCCTTTTTTTTGTTTAGGACACATTTTTAAAAAAAAAGAACACTTACTGGGACATTGGCAATATCGGGGACATTTTAGTGTACCCGTTAATTTTTTGTCCCCGTAAGCATGATTTTTTTGTAAAAAAATGTACTTTTATAGAGAAGGAAAAGTTCATACATCGACTGACAAATAGCCTGACTCTCGAGGGAATGCTGCTACATCGACTGAGGGTTTGGTTTGGCCAGGCATCAAGGTCAGGCTTAGGGTTAGGGTTACGGCAAGGTTTAAATTTGGTTATATTATTGTAATTAATCGTTTTTGTAAATAGATGAAGTTAATATGAAATATAATATAAAATAAATAAATAAAAATAACAAAAATTAATATAAAAAATATATTTTTATAATAAAATAATAAATTTAAATATGTATAAATAAAAATAGAAATAAAATAAAAATTAAAAAAATATATATTTAAATATGATAAAAATAGTATCAAAAAAAGTAAAAGAAAACAACAGAACAGGAACAAAAATAAAGAAAAACTAAAAAAAAAAAAAAAAAGTTCAATGAATTTTGCGAATTTTGAATCCATTAAGAATTCTAGAGTACATTAATTTTGTTTTACTTTAAACCAAGCTGTTACTGCTTTTGCATTTTGGTCATTTTGGTCATCATCTTGCTAAAATTTTTATTCAAGCTCATCTCCAAAAAAATTGGTCTCTTCTTGAAATCAAATAGTTTTCAAGTGTTTCAACATATCTGTATTGGTCCAACCAGTATACAAGAAGCATACTCGTGTTCCATAGTCAAGCATAATTAATGATAAATTAATTTTCTTGGTTACTGTCTGTCTTACGTTTTACCCATTTTCTAAATATGTTTAAGACAAATATTATTATAAAAATGGTACACTTCGATTGTGCACTCTAACAGTAATTTGATTTTTAAATGGATTTTAGTGATTTTCTACCACTTTATAAGTATACAAAAATATATATACATATATATATATATATATATATATATATATATATATATATATATATATATATATATATATATATATATAATATATATATATATATATAGTATATATAAGGCCCGTAGGAACAAAAATTATATTGTAGGGGCAATACTACTGGTTATATGAAATAGTGTACGTCAAAAGTTTTTGTAAATAGAATTTATTCCGAAAATTTGGATAACAAATTAGGTTTTTTCTACCTTTTTTTTTTCTTTTATATCTTAATTTGTAATTGTTTGCTATTTTCTAAAAACTAGCTTTAAAATTATTTATTTGAAAAATTGTTGGGGGAGCAAATACTCCTGTCTCCCCTGTTGGTTGCTATTGGCCTATATATATATATATATATATATATATATATATATATATATATATATATATATATATATATATATATATATATATATATATATATATATATATATATATATCTTAAGGCCCTCTTAAGGTGGAGGGAACGAAGGGGTGTCTAACCCCACCAGGAAAATTCATTAAAAAAGTAAAATTAATTTTTTTGTTTCATTGAAGTATTTGGGCATTCTTTAAATATTTTGACAATAAATACCCACAAGCAAAAGAAAACATCATTTATTTAAATTATGTAATTTATAATTACGTTGTTGTTATGTTAATTTATTAGTAGATACGCTAAAACGTTTTAATTCAACATTAATGTTACAATACAACGATATTAGGTACATCAATCAATGGAAACTATACGGGTGTTGTAGCATATGCTGATGACATGATATTTCTTAGCTCCACCCTCTCTGGCCTACAAAAGCTTATTAATATATATAATATGTACCTAATGGCTAAGATCAAGTGTGGTATCTATTCTTATCTGTTATTAAGATTGAAACCGTGACAGTCGATAGAGGTTCTTGGCGTAGTCGCTTTTTCAGTGTCTCCTTCTACGTCCGGAAATCTTAAGGCGATCAGTCCACTCCGGACGTTAAATGGAGATAAATCCTTTAGTGGGCGCTGCTCAGTTTCGGCTGAGTGGCAATTAAACGCTTAAATGGGCCAAACCTAAAACCCTTAAATGGGCCAAAATATGGAGTCCTGGCTCCTATATAACACCGGCCTTCTAGTAAGACCCTGTGTAAGTCTGGTCTCAGCAGCAGGTGTCCCTAGTTAATTGGTAAAAAAAAAATATGTACACACACAAAAACTGCATAAAATTGAATGCTGACAAAACCGAGTTCCTGCTCACCGGAAAAAAGCAAATTAAAAACTGCACAATAACTCTCAACCACCAACAAATAAAACTTCATGATAAACTTAGTCATCTAGGCTTTACATGGGATAGAAAAAGTTTACCTTTTGCTTCACTTAATAAATCAAACATTGATCACCGAATATCTAATTTCTGGACGGTAATCCAAACCTTAATTCAATCAGGAATCCGTTTTGCTCACCCAAACTCCATTGTTCAGTTATATAAAACTTTAGCTGTTCCAACACTAACGTATGGTCTTGAGCTGTGTGAACATAAAAAAATGTTAATGCAAAAGCTTGATATAGTTGGAAGAAATGCACTTAGGTCACTCCTCGATGTTTCAAAACATAGCAAAAATTATATTCATACCTTATTTTTTATTGAAAATATATCAATTATTATACAAAAAAACAAGCTAAACTTATTTATTCGTTTGATGAACAATAAAATGACATATGATATTATTAGGTCGCAGCTGAAAAACAAAACAGCCCCACAACATTTTTTAGATAGTATCAAAGGGTTGTACAATAATCATGAACTAAATCGGGAGGCAATAATGGAAAGTAAAAAAAAAAAAAAAAATTGTCGGCCTCAAAAATTTAATTCCTGAAACGGATCTTCAATCTCTAAAATGTGCAGTTGAGTACTGGAACTTAAAAGAGCAGAGAACTATCTTCAAGGACATTCTTGAAAAACATATTCCAAGATGATCACGTTGAAACAAAAAAAAAAAAAAAAAAAAAAAAATTTCCAAGATTTTTTTATATTTATCTTGTATGAAACTCTTAATTTACCTTACTTGTATAGTGGGTGTTTAATAAATCTAAAATAAAAATAAAAATGTTATAATTAAAGTTAATGAAATTGTGACGTATTTAAATTAAAATTCATTAAAATTTAACGTATTGAAATAAGATTAAACATTTTATTATCTAGTGCAATATGTGTCCGCTTTTTAAATGCTATCTTTCTAACAACATTTTCTGACGCATTCTATTATCCTTTGTTCTTCTGAACTCACTTGCTCTTGGTCTGCAAAGCCGGTTATGATGCTCACTAATGAATTGAACTCGTATTTATGGGCCTTGGTAATGTGGCCTCTGTATGGAAATTAGCTGGAGGAGAATAAAACAATAAGCCTATACAAACGTCAGCAGCAATGTTGACTAAGTATATACTCATACATTAATTAGCTATCCTAATTATTAGTATGAATTGCACATTCTAACATCTCGTGCAATAATTTGTCCGCTTATTCTACGTTATCTTTCTAACTCGAACTTTTCTGACTTTTACTCTAATTTTCTTTGTTCTTTCTAAACTTACTCACTCTTGGTCATTGAAGCGGGTGATGATGCTCTTAAATGAGCTGAACTTGTCTTCGTTGGCCCGGGTATGTGGCCTCTATATTGCAATTGTCCGGATAGTCAATTACGAGGGTAAGTCACAATGCATAAAAAACCAATAAAACGGAAAAAATAAATAAAGCACAAACGGAAAAAAACACAAAAAACTAACAGCGCTATTTGTGTTTTTCCGCGTACTTTAATTAGGTGATCTAATTAATAGTATGTATTCCACCTTCTAACATCGTGTGCAATCTCTGTCCGCTTTCTCTATGCTATCTTTCTAACTCGACTTCTTTTGTCTATTATATCTTCGTTTTCCCAAAATCACTTTACTCTTGGTCCGTAAAGTGGGTTATCACATTCCTTAAGGAGCTGAGCTTGTTTTTGCGGGCCTTACTATTGTGGCCTCTATATGGCAATTAGCCGGAAGAAGATAAACCAAAGTACCAAAAACCAATAAAACGCTATAAGCAATAAAATAAAATAAATAAATAAAATAAATAAAATGTTTAAAATCAAAAAAACGGTTGCCTCTAGAGGCAACCGCCGTTGGTAATTGCTATAGAGCTCTATGGCAATTGCTTAATAGCAATTAGCCGGAGGAGGATAAACAACAATACCCAAAAAATCAATAAAATGCTCAAGTTGTTATAAGTTAAGCATATTACTGTGAAACAACAAAAAGTAGATGTTTTCAGAATTAGCTTGTCTTTTAAGCTTCTGTATAACCTATTTCTAGCTTTTTGGTGTAGTTTAGACGATTTTTAATAATTATAGCGTCTGTATAATATTTTGGTGACTACAACATATTTTCATTAAATGATTAGGTCTGAATTATGAAAAGACAAAAAAAATTAAAATGATAAATTTTGCCGTATCATAAAACAAAAATGTTTGTAGCAAAAAAACCCAAAGATTTTCTTAACTATAAGCGCTTTCTTGGTCGGAATTCTAATATTTTTTGTGAATATTGGTAAAAATGTTATGTTTTGACAATTATATTAAATTAATATGCGCTAGAACCGATTAGAGCTAGGATCTATAGTAGATTAAAGCACTTTATCAAAAATTTTTAACTAAATTTAAGTTATCGCTGTTGAGCGGAATTGATCTAAAGACTCTAAAATGGTGCTCTTGAGATTCGCAATAAGGGGTGATAAAAAAATTTTGAAAATTATATAAAAAA